TGTTGGAGTTGAATGTTTCTATTCTGTTCTTCTGTCCATCAAACCTGACTTGGGCAGGAAGTGAGGGAAAATCTCTTATGGGGCCATAAACCTCATTAAAATGCTCATGAAGGTTTTAAACCTTCCTCATTCTACAAGAAAATTAGTTTTATTGCAGCCCTGTGTGTCCACATTAGTTGGATTCACCCCAACTTCCTGTTCTACTTTAGTGCTACCCTCGTGAGGGGTAGCTGTGTTGTGGGAACCCCTAAGCTCTGCACATCCAGGCAACAGGCATTTTTACACAATTTCATCCACAGTCTGTGAACAGTCCGTGAGCTTGGTTTTGTTATTTTATTAGGGGAAAATAAATCAGATAGGAAAATAGGGATTATGGGATGCCCAGTTTAGTTTGAATGAATGAAGGGGGGACAACTTCCTTCCTATGTACAGAAACAGATCTTGGACTGTTCTTTTCCTTTTGAAAGCCATCAGTCTTTGTGGATCAGTAGCAACAGCCCTTTACAGACGAGGAACTAGCAGCCCCTCAAAATCAACTTAGCTTCTTGTAACTACATGCAGAGATGTCTCCTCTTCCCCTCTAGAACTGCTCCCAGCTCTACAGCCTGCAGACACCACCAGCCCTCTTGGCTGCTCTGAAGATCTCCTGGGACAATGATAAAGAATTGAGCCCAGCGCTGTCCTATGAAAGCTTGCTACATGTGGCAGTCTTTCCCCTTGTGGATTCCAGGGTGTGCTAATGTACTCACTCTTTGCTCCCACTGCTCCAAATCTCGATCCCATTCATGCTGCAGTGCTGAATTTATCCTCCTGAGCCAGCCTGGTGGCCGCAACCCCCCCCCAACCTAGGAGACCCCTCCCTGGCATCGGTGGTCTCCTCAGCAGTCCATCTTCCACCCGACTCCCCTGTCACCCTGACTTTCCCATATTTATGGGCCAGTCCACCACTCTACAAGGGCCTCCAAACCTGGGATTGACCAGACTTCCATAAATATGCAGATTAGGTCTCCACCCACTCCTGCTTACCAACTCCTTGGTCCTCCAGAGGCAGGAGGAGGCGATAGAGCCACAACCCGTTAAGTCATCCAGCTGGCCTGCAATAACCCAACCTCACAGATTCACACAGTTACCATGAGTAATATACAATGATTTTACTTGCAATACACTACACTATTCTAGTAGCATTCTAGAGGCTGCTACAGTACTATGAGGAGACTTTACATCTTTTCTTCTCAGATGGATAAGAAATAAGGGGAACATTTCAAATGTAGGCAGGGGCGTATCTTCCTTGAGGCAAACAAGGCATTTGCCTAGGGTGGCATCTTTCAGGGGGGTGGCGCTGCCCCCTCTCTGAAGAAGGGACACACAGGTGTGAGCAGTCTTCAGAGCAGGGCAGCCCAACGGCTCCTGAGTTGATTTTCCTGCAGCTCCACTGGCTCCCCTGGAATGGACAACTGTCACAGCCAAGCTCCATCTCCCCTGAGGATGGTAAGCTCCACTGTGGTCCCGGTGTGGCAGCCCCAATTCCCACTGTATATTCCACCCGGACCCCCCCCCCCCCCTCCTCATCCTAAGTAAGGGATTGAATGGGAATGTGAGCAGTGGGGGTGTACAAGTTGTATGACTGTCAGCACTGAGGACCCTTACAAGTTATATGTGACTCATACTCACATATAACTTGTGAAGCTCCCCAGTGTTGACACTCATATGCACCCCCCACTGCTCACATTCCCATTCAATCCCTTACTTAGGATGAGGAGGGGGGGGTGCGGGTGGATTATACAGTGGGAATTGGAGCTGAGCACTAAGGGGTATACAAGGTGTATGTCAGTGTCGACACTAGGGGTCTTTACAAGTTATACGTTTACAAGTTATATGTGAGTATAAGCAGTGGAAGGTGTATGTGACTGTTGACACTGGGGGGATTTACAAGTTACATCCTGGTCAGACCAAACCCGACTTTGAAATCGTGCGACTTACAGTGAAGTTGCACGATTTCAAAGTCGGATGACATGCCGATTTCAGGTGCAATTTGCAAGACATCTGACACAGATGTCTAGGCAAATCGCACCAAAAGTAAGTCAGAACCGCACCGTTATGACCGTTGAAATTGCGGACAATAGGGTGCAACTTGAAATGCAATTTGAAAGTCGCATGGCATGCAAATCGCATGCCAGTTTGCATCCAGTGTGACTGGGGACTTATATGTGAGTATGAGAGGGGGGGGTGTACAAGGTGCATGGGAGTGCAGGCATTGGGGGGGGGGGGGTTACAAGAAGTATGTTAGTATAGGCACTGAGAAGAGGGGAGATGTGCAAGGTGTATGTGAGTGGGCACTCTGGAGGGGGAAGAAGGGATGTACAAGGTATATAAAAGTGTAAGCAGTGGGGGTAGGGGGTGCATGTGAATGTGGGCACTTTAGCGTCAGGGATTTAAAAGGTTCATTTGACTATGGGGACACTGGGGAGGTCAATGTACAAGGTGCATGTGAATGTGGTCACCGGGGGAGGGCGCAAAATATACAAGGTGTTTGTGAATGTGGCATAGTTAAATGTGAGTATGAGCACTAGGGGTATGCTGGACAAGTCCTTCGACAAATTTAGATGGGGGGGGGGGGGGGGGCGATATTAGTCTTGTCTAGGGCAGTACTGCTTTTACGGACAGAGACAACTTAAAGAAATTAAATTCAAATTTTACCTTTTTAATATTCATTATACAAAGGGAGTAGTCCTTAAATGTCAGGTGGTGCTCCTATAATTTTATTTTTTTTTCTACCTCTGTATTTCGTACATTCAAAGTTAGGTACTTACTAAATGAGGGGCTAACTTCTTCCCCCTCCTGTTCTCCATCTGTCTGCATTTGGACTGGTTTACAATTATGGTGTATGCCTTGTCTTAGATATATAAACCAGTGAAAGCGGACAGAGGTTTTAACACTTCCAAACGCAATCCAAAAACGCTACCTGGAGTTGGGAACTTTTTTGGCTGGAATAAAAGCTAAAAATGCAAATGTGGAAAAACACGGCTAAGTGCAGCTAAACGCTAATGCAAAAGCGTTATTAAAACGCCAGTGTGCATATAGTCTTACAAACATTTTTCATTTCTCAGTGCTCAGTTTTCTTTTTACAAAGTTTCTACTATTATAATATTATAATGCATGAAGACAGTGGCTACTTTCACACTGTGGAGTTTTTAAAGCGTGTTTGCGTTAAAAAAAGCGCCTGGAAAGCTTAAGAAAAATGCTTCCCTATGTATGTGAATGTATATCTGTGGTATGTTTTTACACTGCGGCGTTGCAGTGCGTTGTAAAAACTTCTGCTTGGAGCATCTTTGGGGCATGTTTGGGGAGTAAAAAAAAATGCCCCAAAACACCTCTTTCCTTTGAAAGCAATGGAAAACGCCTGAAAAGCTCCTCAAAAAGTCTGAAAAGCTCCTCAAAAACTCCTCTGAGAAGTATTTTTGGTGCAGTTATTAAGTCATGTGTCTTTTAAAAATGCTCAGGAAGCGTGGCAAAAGTGCTGGGAAAAATGCCTTCCTCTAATATTTATACATCAGACTCTCCTGTAAGACTATTTGCTTTACTGGACAATGAATGGTATTACAATGGTCTCACATTTTTGTCCCTTCATATAGTTGGTTGCTGAGCTAATGAAAAGGCTCCATCTGAGTTCTAGCCGAAACATATTTGCCCTCTACGAGCAGAACAACCAATATGAACAAGCACTGGGCAAAGCCACTATCGTTGCTGACACTCTCACCAGGTTTGAAAAGTAAATAAAACTTTCTTATTAAGGTCTAGACTCTAGGGAGGGCAGGTTGGGAATAACAGAAGTAAGGTTGTAAGAGTGTGTAGCTTTTAGGTGTAGTACTAAAGTGCATAAAAAGACAATATTTTATTTTTTGTTGTGAACAGTGTTAGACCCCCTGTTAAGTTTATATTGTGGTCTGTGTCCTAATTGGGGAGATTCACCTCTTTTTGTCCTGATTACAGTTGTGAGCAAGGCAAAAACTAAGGGGGAAATACTAAATTTGTCAGAGCAAAAAGAGATTTTTTTTCATTTTTCTTTTCATTTTACTTTATTGCTATCGCAATATCAAGCCCCTTATGGGAAAGAATTGGGCAGATGACATGTCCTCTTTATGGAGACATCAGGGGACTATTAGATCCCAATGCCCCCCCCCCCCCCCGCCCTCCAGTGTAGCTAATCAAGCATAGAGAGTGCTTGATTAGCTGCTTCCCTGGCAGTAGCAGTCAGGGAATGACAGCTCTAAAACTAAAAGTAATTAAATCATCGCTTCTGGGTTCATTAGCCACAGAGGATCTTCTCTATATCTAGCTATCCCGCATCTGCTTTGTATCTGGCTATAGCATCTGTTTACCACAGTCCTGGGCTATGGAAGGTGGCTCTTCTTAGTGCTGTAAAAGAGATTGGGTGGCTGTAGAGCCACCCAGATCACTCTCACTGAACAGCCAATCACTGGCGGATAAAAAAAAATACCAAGCTCAAGGCTGCAGACATGAGCTTCTTTTAACCACTTCAGAGCAGGACAGTTTATGTCATATGGACGTGTAGTGGTTAAAAAAGGTAATTTTTTAAAAAGAAAATAGGGTCATGTGAGACTTTGTAATTTTATATGCTGTATTACAATGGCCTTTTGAAACAGTGTGTTTACAAATATTTTAACTCCTTATCTGGCAGCGCCATTTCTGACATGGCATGTTCTGAAGGTCATAGATTGCTTTGTTATGCATCTAGACCTTCCCATTGGTTTAAAAGGGAGCATCAGGTAACATTCTCTCAAAATAAGCGTAAAAACGTAGTCATTGGAGCAATACATATAACTGAATGCAAAAATAAGCTCTTTCTAGAGTAAGACCAGTTCTGTATAGAGCATAACAAAATTGTTTAATGTGTCAGCTGTTTGTGTTACTAGTTTATTTAGTCTTTATTTCCTTATAGCCTTACCTGTAAAGAAAATGGGTTTGAAACAAGATGGAGGTTGTACTTCAAGCTGTACTGTTTCCTTGACTTGGAGGATATACCTAAAGAAAGTGTGGAATACACTTTCCTTTTTGAGCAGGTAGCGTTACCTTCCCTTTATTTAGCATTACCTTCCTTTATTATTTCATAAAATAATACAAGCATCCATTGACCACCATATGCTACAATTTGGCTTATTGTATTTAAAGTGGTTGTTACATATACCCAATGAATTGACTGGCATCAGGTGATACACATAGATGAAACAATTCCTCCTACATAAGCTGTACCTGTTTATCTACAGTCTTCTCTTCTCTACATCTGTTCAAAGAGCAGAATTTATGAAGCTTGTCTGAGAGATCAGAAAAAAGGGGTGGAGAGCTGAAATTACACAGAGTAGAGCTCAGTGTGAAGAGCTGATTGGAGGGAAGAAGCACATCCACCTCCACACAGCTCACAGGAATAGAGCTGAAGCTGTAAATCTACTGGATGTCCCTCCCCTGTAACCTTTTTTCTTTTGGTTTCACGAAAACTTGTCAGAAGACACTCGTGCTGATAGCAAAGGAATGGGGCAACAAACAGAAATAACACTTAGTGCTCTTAATTTAGACAAGTACACATAGAGAGATATACTTTGTTCGTATTTCATGTCTGAGATTTACAACCACTTTAAATATGGGGTATTACTCTATTATAGACTAAAAAGATTGAATGTAGCTCCATTTTTTTTTTCATTTCCTATCATTTCTATTTAGACTTTCAGTTTCCAGTCTAAATTAGAAAGGAGTCATTTTATTATTTGTTGCAGGTCCATGAAGCAGTGATCCAAGGTTACCTACCAACAAATGAAGAGACATTACAGTCACTGGCTGCTCTCCGTCTGCAATTCCTCAATGGTGACTTTTCCCCCAGTGCACCATTTCCACGACTAGAGGAACTGTTCCCAATTTACATTCTTCACTCTCGTGTTTTGGCATCTAGCAAGCCCCCTGTAAGACCAAGGACTCCCTGCCCTAGCTTTCACAAAGGCTTTTTCTCTGGAGCTCTTCCCAATGGGCTATGGAACAATTCCCTGGTCAAACAGAAGGCTGAAGAGAGCCAGAAGTTTAAGGGCCGAGTAAAGGAGGAAGGGGCCAATATGATGTCTGCCATTGTAGACAAATGGAAGGCCCTTCAGGGCATGGAAAGAACAGAGGTCATGACTTCATATTTGGCCATAGTGAAACAATGGTCAGGCTATGGATCCACATTGTTTGACATTGACTTTTATATGGTAAGTTAGCTTCATTTTAAAGATAGTTGTTTGTGATATAGTAATAAACTACCTCAAGAGACCCTGTCGCGAGACCACTCATTTAAAAAACAATCTCCGTAAGGTTGCATATACATTTAGGTATGTTGTTTACTTGCAAAAACCTCCCTTGTATAGACATCCAAAATCCCCAAGACTGCTGCTTGGTATGGACATCTTTGCTGTAATGTTTGCAGCCCCAGCAGACTCACAACTGTTACTTAAATGACACTTTATAGTATAGTGTTTTTGTTTCGTTTCTCCCCAGTTGTTACATGAAAGGTTATATATTAGCTGGGCCAGCACATAATATTTTGACACTCTCAAGAGGAGAGGGCTATGATGTGCAAGGAGGAGTGAAAGAACAACACTGTTAGGGAATCAACTCTCCCTGGATTAGTTGACTTCCCTGGCAAGTGCAAAGACACATTGCAAGTGAAAAAAGAATGTTTATAGGAAGGAAATGCAAGTAGGAATTTAAGATACTTGCTTTTCTGTTCCTCTAACTGTAGTTTTTTAAGTAATGACAGGGTCTCTTTATAAAGTGTATATCAAACTGCCCAGACAGTGACCCACGTATCTCTATGCCAGCAAACCACTCAGTGGGTAGGTTGCAACATTTCAGGGTCTCAAGTGTGGTGTAGAAATTAGGTGATTCTTCTGTTCACATGTTTAATATCTCCCTCTGTATGCTGTGTAAATTATGTGACAAATGGACATTTCCAAAGGTCATTCTTTTGCCAGAGCTTGGTGTGGCTTTGTGATGTCAGCTGACAGCAGGCCTTGGCCTGTTGTTGGCTAATTCTTCATGGGAGAGCAAAAGTAAGTGCACTCCTGTGACTCAGAAGAGAATTACTTATTTTTTAACTGTATGCTAAGTGGCTTTTAACTAAGGTTTGTGTACCATGTTGCCTACCATTTACCAGTGGGAGACATTTCAGTCTGTTATGTATATACCATACTTTAAATGTAGGCCAATTCAAATAAACTGAAAAACAAAAAAAAACACAAAATGTCCCCTGTTCAAATGAAATCACAAGTGTCCACAGAAGTACTCCACCAATGTGCCATGGTTTTAATGCTTCCTCTCAACTTCTAAAAAAATCCCATCCAGGTGTCACATGCATCCTGTGCTCCTATCACACGCTCATGTTCTTTTATTGACCCCAATGATGTATTAAGGTTAGGGTTGCACCAAAATCACTTTTTTACCGGCGAGTACGAGTACCAATACTTCCGATCAATTACTCGCCTGTACCGATACCTTTGCGGTGCAATTTGAGCCCATACAAAATTAATAGGCTCAAATCACACTGCAAAGAATTGCATGCGATTTGAACAGGATTGATGTGCAATGGCTGTCCAAATTGCATGCAGTTTCCTGCACAGCTCTTGTGTGAACCCAGGCTTGTCAGAGTGACTTTGAGCCTGAGTTCACAAAGGAGCGGTGCGGGAAACCTTGCACTTGGGTTCCACAAGTGAAGTTCCAACCCCTGTTCAGGCTGCGGACATCAGCGGCTGAAGCTTTGGCTCTTCTCCTGCTACTCTCCCATGGCTTTGTTCCCTGCATTTCAAGTGGCTCTCTTCCCCTAGCCTCCAGAGGCTATCTCCTCCCAGCCTCCAGCGCTTCGAGCCATCCACTGGACCCCTCTTCCCACCCCACCTGTCCCGCTGTACCAGATTGCCGAATTCCTGTTCAAATTGCAAGCAATTCTTTGCAGTGTGATTTGAACCCATTTATTTTGTATGGGCTCAAATCACACCGTAAAGGTATCTGTTTCGGGTATCAGCAGCATTTGCAGGAGTAAGAGTACTCGTGGAAGTACTCGGTATAGGTACAAGCTTAATTAAGGTCATAACACTTTTTTGCCCCACCATGGGCTATTAGGCATTTGTTCTCCTTCAGGCTTTTATTCTCCACCAGCAATACTCCACTTTCAAGTAGATGTGCATGCAAAAACAAAATGGGACCAGAAATAGTGCTCTCTGTATAATCCTACTTTATTTTATTAAAACTCTCACATAAACAAACTCACATCTTAAGCACCTTCAGGCTTTTAAAGGGCGTTATTTCCTCATTACACTTCCTGACTACCTATCACGGTTTCGAAGGCCCTGAAATGCCAGGATATCAACAAAACCCCCAAATGACCCCTTTCTGGAAAGTAGACACCCCAAGGAATTTAAAAAGAGGCATAGTGAGTATTTTGCAGATCTCATTTTTTCTCACAAGGTTTTGAAATATAAAGAAAAAAAAGAAAAAATATGTTTTGTTTTTTTCTTCATTTTCCAAAAACTTGTGGCAACAAACGAGATCTGCGAAATGCTCACCATGCTTCTTCTCAAATTCCTTGGGGTGTCTACTTTCCAAAAAGTGGTCATTTGGGGTGGTTTGGTGCTATCCTGGCATGTCAGGGCCTCCGAAACTGTGATAGGTAGTCAGAAAGTGTAATGAGGAAATAACGCCCTTTAAAAGCCTGAAGGTGCTTATTGGATTTTGGGGTCCTGTACTTGGCTAGACTGCCAAAACGTCTCTCACATGTGGTACCCTCATACTCGGGAGAAGTAGTAAAATGTATTTTGGGGAGTAATTCCACATATACCCATGGCATGTGTGAGCAATAAATCATTTAAGTGAAAATTTTGTGTAAAAAAAAACAAACTTTTTTTGTTTGTCATTTTCCAAAAACTTGTGGTAAAAAAATACATTCTTCTATTGATTCAGCATGCCTCTCAGCAAATAGTTTGGGGTGTCTACTTTCCAAAAAGGGGTCATTTTGGGGGGTGGGGGGGCATTTTATGCCCCGCATTAGCAGTTTATGCCACACATCATTCACTCTTCTAACCAACTGAAGACCAAGCCTTTTCTGACACTTTTTGTTCACATGAAAAAAATCTGTATTTTTTGCTAGGAAATTATTTTAAACCCCAAACATTATATATTGTTTTAAAGCAAACACCCTAGTGAATAAAATGGTGGGTGCTGCCATTTTTCTATGTCATATAGTACTCGCACAGCGATTTTTCAAACGCATTTTTTTTAAAAAATACACTTTTTTGGTTAAGGTGATTTACGAGGGGCTGAATTTCGTGTAGCCAGTCAAATTCAGGGTCACCTCAAAGACGACAGAGTGTATTGTCGTTCAAATGCATAAAACACATTATACTCTCATATCTATGCCTGGCCATGGCAGCAGAGAACACGGGCATGTGAAGAATCAAGTTTGTGGACCAATACAACCGCAATTCAGTTTTTTTTAGTAATGCCCATGTTGAGGGTTAGGCCCAAAAAATATAAATTTGAAAACTGTACTGGGTTTCCATGTGAATGGTCTGGCAAGGTTTGAATTTTGGTTGGCGGCAGTACATTGTTGTGCATATAAAATGCTTTGATCCACAGTCCAGTCAATGCATACAGATCTTCTGTGAAAAACAGCTCCAAAAAATCAAGAGGAGTCGTTAAATTTGCTGTTTCCGCCTGAGTTCTGGGTTGGGCAGTGAATGGGGGAAGTAAGGGTGCTGCAGAATTTGTGGGTTGCCAATCGGAAGGATGCTAGGAGCTCTATGTGCCTGTGTCTTGGTGGTTGCGGGACAATACTTGTGCTCGCCACCGCACCAGCTTGTACTGCACTTATGGGACTCGCCACGTCGCCAAGTCATACTGCAGTGCTGGTATTATTATTATTATACAGAATTTATATGGCGCCAACAGTTTACTCAGCGCTTTACAATATAACGGGAGACAATACAGCAACAATACAGTTCAATACAAGAGTGTTAGGAGGGCCTGAATCTGGGAGCTTACAATCTAAGAGGTATGTGAAAGACCAGGATGTACTAGACCGCTGGTGCTCGCCAGTTCACCAAAAGGTAGCGCAGCACTAGTTCTGGCACTCTGCTGCATATGAGAGTCAAAATTTACCGGCAAGTGCTAACAGAGATCAGGCCTGATTCTGCCAACACTGCGGTTTTGTGTACAATGTATTAAGTGACAGTGACCTACTGACACTGCACTTGTTGGGGGAGAAGGGGGGGGTAAACGTAGGGGCTAAACGCAGGTGCCGGGGCTGATCCCGCTAACGCTGCGTTTTTGGGGATGCTATACTAATGTGAACGCTGGTACAGTGCTGATCTGGTCAAAGATATTGATCCGTTCAGACACTATACTAGCAATGGAGATTTATTGTGTATGAACGTCTTCCTGGCAATCAAGGAATTAAATGTGATTACTGGTGTACTGACAGACAATCTGATGCCATCTGGGAGGGGCGTGAAAACCACAGGAGCGTGAATCACGTATATATATATATATATATATATATATATATATATATATATGTGATTTTGCGCACCTGTGCTGTCCTGTAGCAGTATTTCTGCTATAGGGCCGTCAGGAAGCGGTTACATAAGCGGTTTGTATTACGGCGCTGTGTTACTTTAACTGACAATTGCGCGGTCATGCAACACTGCACCAAAATTAAATTTACATCTTTTTTTCCTCACGAATTGGGCTTTCTTTTGGTGTTTTTTTGATCGCTGTGCGGTTTTTATTTTTTGCGCTATAAAAAAAAAGCCTGACAATTTTTAGAAAAAAAACCCAATATTTTGGACTTTTTGCTATAAAACATGTCCAGTAAAAATCAAATTTCATCATAAATTTCGGCCAAAATATATTTTGCGACATGTCTGTGCTAAAAAAAAAAAAAAAAAATCCCAATATGTGTAAATTAATTGGTTTACATGAAAATTAT